TGTGCAAAGTGCATTTCTCCAATTTTCCCGAAGTTGCTGGTAAAACGGAGAAAGATTGTGAGCATTAGAAATACAGCATAATATTTCCCAGTGAGGAACACTGTGAAATGACTTATTCTTTATTGCTGTCTATTGGGCTAAGGATGAATTAGTGTTAAAGCAATACAACCCCCTCCACTGTGGTGGAGTACTTTATCTAATGAGACCATCAGGTGCTGTGAGTCTGACTGTCCCAGTGTTTGGTAGCTCACTCAACATGCTGGTATCGATTACTTTTCCTGATTTAATCTCCCTCCTCTGTTTCCCTGTCCAGCTCCACGCAATCTCACAGGCAGTGGGAAACAGTGACAGCTATATCAACCAGCTCAACACACACCAATGTAGAGAAAGAGACAAAGCAGGAGAGATAAAGACAGAAATGCAGAGTGAGAGCAAATTAAGAAAGGCCATTAACTCCATGTTAATGTCCAAAAAGTCTTTTAATTTGACTAAAATGACAAAAGCAATATTTATTTTTGGTAAATCAATATGAGGTTGGTAAAAAAATGTCGATGTGAAAATCGATGAAGCCACAGCGAGTTCGAAAACTAGCAGTTTAAGAGGTGACCTTGTCCACTGTATGTGCTTGTCTACTAGTGACTTGTGCCAGGTGGTTGTGTCAGGCCGTCAGAGCTGAGCGGGTCAGAGAAACAACATTTGCTACTGTTCTGTTGCTTTAATAAGACTCATGAATATACCGCATGTGTCACCAGCAGCGTCTGACTGCGTCCCCTCTGGGCTGGGCTAGTTTTGGCATGACATGAAGTAAGGACACACACATTTACTTTGTCTATCGTATCAAAGCAGAGTCTTTGCACTTCCTGTGAACTCGCATCCCTTATTCATCTGTGTGTGTGTGTGTGTGTGTGTGTGTGTGTGTGTGTGTGTGTGTGTGTGTGTGTGTGTGACATTTTGGCTTCCGTGGTAGCCTGTACGAAGACCTGTTATAAATTCTGGACAGATTGTAACCAACAGGTTTATTGCCTTGTTGACTCATTAAAATATCCTTCGATGATGGATTTGATCTTGGCCAAGATGCTGCCTTCCGATGCGTTATGAACAAGCGAGGCACTCTTTCAAACTGCCAACGGGTAAAATGTACTCGCTGTTGGAATGCATTGATTTTCAAACTACAAGGTTCATTTATTCCTACAACACTGGGATGCATAACAAAATGCTATAGTTGTAGTCCCTTCATGCTACTCACAACAACAGTCACATTCATCCCAGGACACAGGCAGTTCTAGTAGGTATGGTTTTTGGTGGGAATTGTACTTTTTCCCTTTAAACCACAGACGGAATGATGTATACCTTTTTCAAGTATGTGTGGACTCTTAAGACATGCTGTATGTTGAGATTAGTTTTACTTTTAGTAGAATTACTACTGGATGTTTATTGGATTATGCCTCACTCAGTAGTGAAACATAAGGATTTAAAGGATTAGTTTGACATCTGGGGAAAACACTTCGATGAGACGATCGATACATCACTTTTTGCTAAATATGATGCTACAGACAGTGGCCCATTAGCTTAGCTTAGCTTAGCATAAAGACCAGAAACCGGGGGACATAGCTGGCTCTCTCCAGAGATAAAAATAAATCTGTCTGCCTGCACCTCCAAAGCTCACTGTAAACATATATGCACTGGAATAATAGCAACCAGAAGAGATTTTGGGGGTATTCAAGGTAATTGTAAAATGATCCCCAAAGTGGACTTTAAGTATTTTATTCAATGGTGTTTATTGTGATTGGTTGCACTGTAACATGATTCCTAGAGCCGTTAAAGAGTGAGGAGAATGTACCCTTATACAGTTTGTGAGAAGAGTATTTCACTTTTACACTTTTACTACTTTACTCTCACTCATGGAGTTTTATTGTTCGGGTAATTTTCTCTTTTTCTTTTTTTACTTCCCTGCAGCAGTTGAATGAAGCGTGAAATCATTTGATATAAGATGCACTTTGATGGACTATTTAATCATATGGTTGAAGTTTGCTGAACCATAACCTCTGGAAATGGAGGTTGTTTGAGTCAGTTTAATGTTTAGAAGACTAAAATGCACAGATTTGATTTTTTTGTGTATTTTTTTGTGTGTTTTCTGTGTGCTGCCACAAATCCATAAATCCATAAAGGTGAGAGCATGTTATTACTGGAAGTTGACTGGTGCAAATCCCCAATGTGTCTCATGGACGATGTGGGTGGAAAGAGTGGACGAGTTACTCTCCTCACCGTCAACTGCTGTCTGAAGGTGGCCTTCAGCAGGGCACCACCTTTGAACTGCTCTGCTGTAACAGATCAACAGCAGTTAGTGAATATGTGAATGGAAAGGTATGCAGAGCTGAAGGACATCATTCACTCAATTATTGTTTTAAATGACAAAAAACAACTTTATATTTAATGTTTAATGTTCCTATAAACAAAAACGTAATGATCCAAGACTCCCGTTTATTGCATTAGTGTAATTGAATATGAAATGCTCTTACATTGTTACCTACAATTATTATTGAGTTGATTTCTCATTGCCAGATTTTCTTTGGTTGAACAATAGACTTCATAGTTTTCACAATTGCCTCACATCTCACCAGCTGACTTTTCTTGGGGCAAATCAGTGATGCAATATAGCAGCTTGTGTTTGCTTGATTTGAAGTTCCTTTACGTTTGGAAGCATAATGCTGTTGGGTGTGGCTGGTATGCATGAGAAATAAACTGCTGCATGTATCATTGAAATTAACACTGAGAATATGTGACTTGACACTGAGTAGTTAATTTTTGGTTAAAATGATTGTCGTTGTGTGGTCATTTGGTCCTTGCTCATATGTCATGGCAAGATACAATTGCAAAGACCCTCTGACCATCATCACTCTAAAGTTGAGCTTGGTATGTTATGTAGGTTTATGCAATGGAGTCTGATCCTGAGTTTAGCTGTTGTTCTTTTTGTCTCTTCTTGGTCATTAATACACTGTATTAAATTACATATTATATATATGAATTTACTGATTTAATATTTTCTTTATATATGCGGATGTATGTAGGCTGGCATGTAGGCTGGCTCTCAGGATGGCATGATACCTGGCATCCACAGAGTCTCGCCAAGACTCTGGTGGAGCAGATTCTGCACCATCTGGAAGTCGCACATTAGCGCTACCCCACCCAAAGCCAAGAAGATGATTGCTATCAGCATGATTACGCCTTTATTAGATTAGCTGTGCATTGTTTACAGGCTCGTGGCTCTGCCCGAGCCAGCCTTGAACGAATAAATACTTTCCTCTAAATAAGCCAATGCAGTGATCAACTCAACAGCAGCTAAATACATTTCCCTCATTAGTGCATTCATTTGTTTCTCTAGGAGAAAATCATAAGGATGTTTGATCTCTTGCAGTTTATTCTTCGGTGATATCATACGTCTTCAGAAATGTCTGTTATTAGGGTCAGACGAATTCCTAGAGATTAAACTTTGACTGTTGATAGAGCTTGTGTGAAAATTACACAGTTCACTTTGATCAAATAGCCAAAGAGCCACACAATTAAGAAATGACATGTGTGGCCTCTTCCACTGACTGAGCAGAAGTTAATATGTCAGAAACGAGGAGGTGAACTAGAGAGATGTACTAGTTAATTAAACAGCCAATATAAAGGTAAAAGTAGGACTTTTATTATGGATTCATTTGTTACATTCCAGTTTCAAAGGTAGAACACGTCTTCATCCGGCAGTTTTAACGCGAGAATGTGATGTGGTTTAATAGGCTATAACTTGTATTTTAACGGGTACATTATCCAGATTCTTCCGTAATGTGTGCAGCATATAGTCAGTTTTGTCACAGTGACAAAATGGAGCCATTTTGCCACCGTTGCAGCTCATATTAGCACCACGCCAAGGAATGAAGACATGATCAGAGGAGAGAAATGCTCTGCCAACGTCTGTCTCCTCAATGCCAGTGCATGGGGAGAAGGGAAAGGTAGCCGGCAGAGCCAACTTTCCACTCCAGCTGGAGAGCCGGTGAGAGGCATGGTTTCTCTCATCTCCTACTGTCAACCATTGTAGTAGCTGGTCTGTAAGACTAGCCACTATTTCTAAATAGCATTGAGACATCTTGCCAGACACTGTAAAGGCCTAAATGCTGAATTCTTACAGTACCTGGCAAATTTAGATTTTGTTTTTTCAAGTCTTAAAAAGGCAATCTACTATTTCCTCTGGAGCATATTACAGGCAGTCAGGGGATTGTTAGCTAATGTGTTTGATGTTTAATTGAAAACACATATTTCATAGATAAAATTTAATTAAAATTCTCACATTGACATGTAGATGTGCATTAAAGTTAAAATGCATATCAATGGGCCACTGATTTTGCTGAGCGTGAAATCCTGTCCTCTAAGCAGCATCCTCTACAGTGGCTCCCTTCATTGCCATGTAAAAAGGAGTCCATCAATATTCCAGTCACTCCTACAGCTGCTGGTTGAGTCACTAGTTCACAGAGCTTCACTGTCCCTCTCTCTGTCAATGCTGTCTCTGACCACACTTTACTTGGATTGAACAGACATCACCTTTCACAAGTGTAAACTACCACCCTCTGTTGGCCATGACAGGGAGTTCAAATATCAAGATGAAACCACTGAGACATTGTTCAGCGTTGCACTCAGGCTGGGAATCAATGCAAGTACAGATATATCCAATGCCAGTTTAAGCATGGTGGAATATTATTCATTATTCAGGTGTCACATCTTAGTGCGTCACTCAATTTATTCACATTGGTCATACTTTGTCTGAAGGCAACATTGACTTCAAATAATTTAATTTCTGGCTATGAAAGATGAAGTATTAGCTTAATCAGGGGTTTGAGCCCAGCTTACCTTTATAACATGTAGTACATTTTTATTCTTTGAATATTATGAAGTCTAGAAATGCAATAGAATAAGCCATACTGATACAAATCTACAAATCTTTTTTTTCTGTTCGCTGTCTTTAGGTCCAACTGGCTGAAGCCCTGTTGCGGTCGCCGGGTGGCCCTGTGGCAAGTCTGTCTGCTCAGCGCTGGCTTCAACTGTATCCTGGTGGCCTGTGTCATCCTGGTGGTGCTTTTCCTGTCTTTGGAGCTGCTGATAGACACCAAACTCCTACAATGTAAATAGTGTGCATGGCTACTTATTTATATCTCCTATTTAAACCTTTATTCTCAAGGGGGAGGTTTGCTGAGCATGCATATTCTTCTCCAGCGACACTGGAGCATAGACTGTGTGACGTTGATAAAACACCTGGGAGGCATCCAGTGCAACATATAGAGGAGTAGCTCCACTTGAGCAGTGGGGAGTTCAATGCTTTAGTGTCCTTGAGTGTTTAACTGAAGCTTTATTAACTCTACTGATACTTTAGGTGCACTGTGACCTACCGGCCAACAGGGTCAGATTAAGAGATCTAAACTAGCTAAAATATATAAAATGTGTGTAATCATTCTTATTCTCATTACTCCTATCATTTGCTGTAGCTACTCTGGTACAGTCTTTAACTCATGGCTTTGAGGTAAAACCTTGTCATGATTGACATAATTAGATATAAGGAAGAGCACATCACAGTAAAAAGGTCCTGGTTTCAAAAAGTACTGTACTTGAATACAATTATTCAGTTTATGCTAATTTACACTTCTACTTCACTGAAATTCAGAGGAAAATATTGTGCTGTTTATTTATTTTACAACTATAGCTGTACTAGTTACTTTCCAGATAAATATTTTTACATAAAAAATATGAAATATAAATATGATAACCTAATATAATACAATATACTGTTAATATTAAGCAAGTGGGTTCCAACCTTTTGGGCTTAGAAGCCTATGATTTGTTAGTAGTTACTTCTTCCATCACAGGCTTTATGTTGTGAGTGTGTATATTGGTGCATAAGGGACCCTAAACTGTCTGTGAATATGACAATATATGGATTAATGTACTGAATACTGTGACAGTAACACACTGTGGACTTTAACAGTGAGAAACTCAAATCATTTACATGAGTTAGAGTTCAGATTTCTCATTTTATTTCACTACAGTCCATTGACAGTACAATTTACAAAGATTCAAGTCTGGAGATCTACTTGGAAGTGTTGTAGAAATCAACAGTCATGTGATTCCTTCTTAAATAGTCATGTGTATGCATTTAGTGTCCCCTCTTTCCATCACTTCTGTGTGTGCAGTCTTGCCAGTCACAGAGGAGCTGGTGGGGCTGGATGGTAAATGGCTGTGATGGAGAGTGATGGAGAAAGGTGATAATGAACCAAGTCTCTTGTCAATAGCAGCAGGCACTCGTCCCTATCGATTACTGGCCAGCATCCAGCTCTGATGATACCTGAGTCTCGCTGCGGGGACTGCAGGACTCTAGTCACTTCAGATCTGCTGTAATCCGGTGCTTTGTCTGTTGCAACTCCTGCAAGACAAACAGTGGAGTGGGCAACAGGGCGGGAGGGAGTGCACAGAGAGATTAGAGGCGTAGGACATGGGTAGATACAGGTTGGCATTGTGGATTCATAGATGGGCCCTGAGATATGGAAAAAACTAGAAAGCGGCATTTCTAGTTTTCTAGAAGAGCAGCTCGAGGCGTGATATGGGTCAAAGTTCAAAATGAACTCAAGCAGAAAAGTTTTTTTTTTTCTTTGTGCTAAACCTTCTTAAATAAAATAGATATTACGAGTTATATTTCCATTGAATGGTAAGACGCATGCTTTTACAAGATATGAGCTAAGATACTTAATGGAATTTAGACATTATTTTTTAATTCATTTGCTCACCTGGTAGAGGAACACCTTGCTTCCTTGTATTGTTTATTGTGTGCTCCTCTTTAGAACTTTGCAGGTTAACATCTGTCCACGTTTCTTCTTTCAACAGTTTCCAATGCTTTCCAATTTGCCAGCATTATCCACTGGATCAGCCTTATCATCTTGTCACTCTTCTTTTCAGAGGTAAGACAATCTATTGTTGTCCATAAAACCATATTTGTGGTACCAGCGTTAATACAAATTCTTTAGTCATTCTTCAGTTATCACGCTAGCCTGTTAGTTTGCAACCTCCTTGCTCTTGGTCCCTTGAATAATGTTATATGGTCACAGAAGTCCTTCATGGGCACAGAAACCCTGATATTTAAAGTGACATATCACATTTATTTTTAATTAATTATTGAATTAAACCAAACTAAACTTTCTTTAGCTAGATTATATCCTATCTATAGCAGTGCAAACCAGGTACAGGCCTAAGGGAACTGCAGTACGTAGCTGCCATTTCAGTTCCTACATCTAGTCTATCGTCTTCTCAGGATTCAGCTTTAGTTTCAGAAATGCTACCTTGAGGCTGGATGGATGGTCTGTTGTGTAAACCATAATTTTAATTAGTCTTAATAAAATGTTAGCTATTGTTTGATAAGATCGTGTCTTATCATCACTCTGGAATTGTGAAAAACAAAATGGAGAGGGGAGAACTTGGCCGACAGGCCTCCACTCCAGTGCAAACCAATTACCCTGACAGCCTCAGCCCCAACGCCCGAAACCAAACATTAATTACCAGTGAGCCACTAGGAGCAGTAATTAAAGCTGAGCTTAATGAGCAGTAGGGATGGGGTTACAGCGATACGATCCAGCCAAACACCTCGCCCACTGACATCACAGAAGAAGAGTCATCTGGGAATGGTGTTGGACAGATGTAGCTTATCACCAGCCGGCCCCTCTGCACCAATCGGAAAACAGGATTCGAACATGTGGGTGGGGTCCCTGAAACTTTTCATTTGACACCAGCACTGTTGTCCAACATACACGCTGGATGATGGATTAGCAGGACTAGTCATACATAATACCACGTGCTAATTGGAATATAAATCAATGACCCTGCTCAACAAAGAGCCCCACAACCACCAGCATTTTAAAAGCGCAATGTAAAGTTTGATAGGTGATTGTATTGTGATGTTCTTCTGTAGGTCAAATATCAAGATCAGGGAACATATTTGCCCCAGATATGATAGCTTTATCAAGTAGTTATAGCTATAAGTGCTTGTAAAAGGGTGTTTTTTCTATGTTCTTTGAGATGTTCCTTGGATGTGTCACAGGCAAATCAATGATATTGTTCTGTATCTGTGCATATATTGACTATTTTGTAGCTGCAACACAGTTTACATTAATCAAATAGTTATATTTTGTGCTACTAAATTCACATATAGCATTCTAGCGTAGTTATTATTCTATTTGGACAAAAAATATATTTGAAGAGCAAAGCTGTACTGCACAGGCCTCTTCTCAGTTTCTAGTCTATGTTCACACATCTTGACAAAGGGTGTTGGATGTGATGACAACTCAAAAGACTAAGAATATCACAAGAGCTTTTTATATGTATCATCAACTCCCTCACCAATCTATTTTAATGCTTTTATTTATCTCTCTCTGTCTGTCTTAGACTGTCTTCAGAATTGTCGTGCTCGGGATCTGGGACTACATAGAGAACAAAGTTGAGGTTAGTGCTGTCGTTGTGTGTTTATTGGCAAGTCTTGATGACCAGGTTTCCATTTTTGTCAGTGTTCAATGTTATTTTTAAGTTTGCCACTTGCTCCTACATAGATGTAGTTCAGCATTTTGAGAAATACACTTTACACACACAACAACATTTGCACATATTTGAATTTTGTACGGGCCTGTGTGTGCGACCTCTCAGGTGTTTGATGGTGCTGTCATCGTGCTGTCCCTGGCCCCCATGGTGGCCTCCACGGTGGCCAACGGGCCCAGCAGCCCCTGGGATGCCATCAGCCTCATCATCACTCTACGCATCTGGAGGGTCAAGAGGATCATTGACGGTGAGGCAGGCAAAAAGCTTGTGTCCATCAAAGCGTGTTATTAAGAGGCTCATTTTGTGGAGCAACTCAAGGAAATACTCAATCTTTATTAAGTCAAAAGTATTACACAGATGCATACATATCCAAATAAAATGAAAGAGGTAAATGACCCCATTCTCTCTGTGATTATACAAATGATTTACTATTCAGAGCAATATAACTATTGATCATCCCTCATAGTAAATTGCTGCCACTCTGCCACTCTAACTTGTATTGATTGTAAGGGGATGGTTAAGTAGATTCAGAGAGGCCATAATGAATATAGTGGTTGTTCTCCCTTATGCTAATGCAGATCGGTTCGATATCTGTTCAGAGGTCACCCTCACCACGGGCCTCTGACTGCATACAGGATCAGCTGCACACAAAACACACAGGAACTCAGTGTGCCCTTTGTTCATGTGCAGTGAGACAATGGACGAGCAAAGGGCAGTTTTCCCTAATACTTCCCCTCATAGCAATAGTTTGTTATTTTAAGAAATATGCTCATTTGCTTTCTGGAGGAGATAGATAAGGCTACAGCCAGCAGCTGGTTAGCTTAGCACAAACACTGGAAAACAGTGTAAAACTACTAGCTTAGCTTGTTTTCATTATTTTTTATATACAATACGGTCTTAAATGGACATTTCTGTCTTGGTTGATTTCGGGATGTCTTTAGTCCAGATCCTTAAGAATACATCAGTACATTGTTTTAATGGATCAAATATATTGAACTAAAAGGGACACATCACAATGACACGATTAATCATTTCAGTAATCAATACAATGCAGCTTTCAACAACATTGATTTACTCTGGTGAAGCACACACAAGCAGGAGCATGTTTCCTGCTTCTTAACATGCAGCCGTTGTGTCGGTTTCCAGGGAATGAACTCGTGATGTTCCTGCCTCGCACCTCGACCTGTTGGGTTTGATATTTGTGAGCGATTGAGTTTCCTTGTTAGGCAAGCGGCAACACACCTCAGAGGATAGAAATCACACTGAAACCAATAAACGTACAGCTGAGGGACTGGCTCGGTTATCATAGGAGAGGGATTGAGTTTCTTGCAGAATTAGCTTGACGTATGAAGTGGCAATGTTTGTGTCAGTCCGATGGGAGTGGAAATACAGAGGAGTGAACAGCAGCAGAATTTGTAAGGACTAGAAAGCAGAATTTATTAGCAAAGTTATATGTCAGATGGGAGGTATCAACCTCTCAAACACGTAGAAAAAGAAATATTGAAATGTTTAATGTCTTCCTTTTCATTTTATAATACATACAAAGACAATGAAAGATAATGATTTTGCTAGTTGTAGTAATGGCTTTAAACAGCCATCTCACCAAAGTCACCAAATTATGAGAAATGTTGCTGAGACAATAAACAGAATACAGTTTTGTAGGTTGGTTGAATAATGTAAGTCTCAGGTTTGTGTGAGCAGTGAAACACTTGACTCCAGGTGAGAGGAGAGAGTGGAGCAGGGCCATGTGTCTGCTTCAGTAAAGTCCTGGTGTGAATTACACTATTATACATGTAGTCTGTAATGGTGTAATACACACACACACACACACACACACACACACACACACACACACACACACACACACACACACACACACACACACATCATAATCAAGTATAGTCAAGCAATCAACACTGTATACTTATACTTGTAAACACATACTTATGAGAAGCTGCCTCAATTTTGGCCTCGGTGGCTTCTCATCCATACTGACACAGATACAATATGCAGGAGCACAAATGTATTATTACTGCATATGGTGTGACTACATAATCAACCTGTGACTGAGCTTTTCATGCCTTTTAAAAATAGTACAATAGTAAAGAAGAAAAGAACAGGAAGTAAAGCAAACAAACAAAAATAAATAAGTATAATAAGATACGATAATAAGATAAGATAATACAAAATTCATGCCTTTTTAAATTCTGACTGGACTGACCCCATCTGATGTCCCCACTTTTGCAAAGTGTGTGTGCCAACATGACTATAAATAGGTGCAAGGAGCATGTGGCGATGGCTGTGTGCTTTGCTCTGCCCCCCCTCAGTACCAGAAAGGCGGTTTCATTCACCGCCATGTTTTTTGACAAAGCCGGCAGTTGAATCTCGTGATAGTTCAGATCCACAATCACAAAAACGACGACAGAGATATAATAATAGGATTATGTTTCACCTCTGTATGTAGCCCAGAGTTACATTCCCCCATCAGGATACACAGCATTACCACGTGTGATATCATGTACCTGGCTGACAAATGTGATCACAAAGAGGTGTGAGGTACCGACTGTCTGCCACCTGTGATGGTATTCAAATGTACCCTTACTATCCTTTTTTTTAGGTACAGCTTCCCATCCTGCTCCAGAAAGTGTGTCATGTGAAAATAAAGTGTGCAGTACGATTGTACGAGGTGGAGTTACTTATTGATCCAGATTACATTACAGTCATTTCGCAGACGCTTTTATCCAAAGCGACTTACAATTCAGATTCTATCACATTTCTACACCGTAGGAAAACTACAGGAGCAATTTTGGGGTTAAGTGTCTTGCTCAAGGACACATCGACATGTGACTAGCAGAGCCAGAGCCGGGGATTGAACCGCCGATCCTCTGATTGAAAGACGGCCTGCTATCCACTTAGCCACAGTCACCCCATGTGTGATCATGTTTGATGCATTAGTCTTAGCACATTATATTTCCTACAGTATACTTTACCAAGAATCATTTTATAAATATATCAAAAATAAGATAAATCAATGAATAAATAAATAAACAACCAGTCAGTTGCAGTTTTGTAGCAAGACTGATTCAAGGCTGGCCAAAGTATGCTGGCAACACTTCAGTGCAACACTTAGGCAGGAAGAAGATGAAGCTCAGGTCGCTAGAAGCTAGAAAGATGTCCATATTGCTACACAAAGTAGCCTCGGGTTTGTGCATCATTTGAGGTAAATGTCTTCATGTCCATTTTCTATAAGGCTCATTGTTTTTGTTGATTTTACTGCTTTTTCTTTGAAAAGGAGCAGTTTAGTTAAATTCATTTTCACTGGATTTGACAGTATGTCACATACATCCAAATGTGTGTGCTGCTACAAAAAGACATTATTACTTTGTTTTACGTACATTAGCAGTCCTGCAACAAGGACAGCTCTGAAAATACTTCCAGACAACAAAAGTTAAGATAAAAATTGGGAGAATCTGCAAATGAGCTGCTAACTATGCACAAGAGACTCTCAAAGTAACTAAAACAACAGTTAAGAATCAGTTTTTTTGTATTATACATATATCGTCCATTTTTCTTCATGACTTTTTGTTTTATTAAACTGATAAGCACAGATCATTTAGAAAATTAGTTTTGAAAATTCAACCACTGAGTTCACATCTTGTAACCCGTTGACGGCACCACTGCTCCATTATCTGAAGACGCTTCCAGGACTGTGACTTTAATTCATGCAGATATTGTATACAGCAGATGTTAACCCAGTAAACACATTTATGGTCCAGTGGAATGGGATGTTTAAGGTCAATATGGGCTGAAAATATACCTTGTTACACCATCAAGTCAGCATTAAACCAGATTCCTGTGGAAGATTTTCAGCACCTTGCCAAATTCATTCAGTACAGGTATAGGGTTACTGGCAACCAGTAATTAATGAGGTTTGCATGTCTGATGACAGACATATATGGAGCAAAGGACACATGGTCCACTAATACTGACCTTTGACCATGATGTGCTTGATGTATTTGACCATAAATACCTAAAAACAGCTGTTTTAGCTAAGAAAGTTTTCTCACTGAGTAAGTCTTGATGCCTCCTAAAACACCTGGCAATCAGTTTCAGACCATTTAATCATGTAGTGATCTAAAAAAATGTTTAAACTGTCTCTCTCTCTCTCTCTCTCTCTCTCTCTCTCTCTCTCTCTCTCTCT